TTTTATGAGGCGAGGAAACGACCTCTCCCGCTGTTTTTTTTTGGTAAACTGTTCTTTATAAAACACCGCTGCGGGGGACACCAACACATGTTGCAATTCGCTTTTAAAACGTGCAAAAAGTACGTTCAAAGACAATACATTTTTTGTGGCTCTTTTTCCAAAAATCTAAACGAATCCACCGCAACAGCGTTTTGGGAGGAATAGAAAAAGAATCAACCGGAAAGGTTGCTCCTCGCCCATGAAATCACAATGGTGGTGTCGCAGCGGTTGAGACGATTTATATGCCAACATGGCTGCTCTACTATAATGACGTAAGTTTTTATAAAAGCTTGTAGAAACTCCTTTCACATCCTGACTTCTTTTTCAAAGCGATAAAAAACATAAAAATTGCACAATATTGTATACAAATAATCTTGATATATAAAAAGGTAGTTTCCATAACAAAACGTCATACAAACGGAAGAAAAAGTAAAAACTAAAATAAGTGACTCCTACCGGGATCGCACCGCGTCCAGCGCAAAGCTAGAGTTTCGAAGCGGCGACGAAAGTGGAAAAAAACAGTTCGATGAAGAAGGAAGAGAGACTGAGAGTCGACGTTGGCAAATGTAAAGTTACGGGATGCTAAGCGCGATTTTGACCTCAATGAAATGGCAACAGTGTAGTGAGACGCTGTTGTGAGAACGGCAACGTCGCAATTGTATCGACATCACGTTAGCAGTCGTCCTCAGTAAGCGCCATCTCCTATCGATTGTCTGAACTAAATTTGTGACGTAACTTGCTCTGCATTATCGTCAAAATGGCGGAACTCGTCTTTGGGAATGTTTTTACGATTTTTCGCTTTTTGTTCTTATATTAGCATATTTTGGGTTGAATGAGGGCTCATTCGAAAGAGAAAGGTCCAACGAAGGGTGCTCTGGTCATTATTCGAGTCACAAAATCCATTTAGTAACCTAAAAATACTTCCATTCTACGGATAAGTTTTGCTCGTCTTTTGTTCAACTTTGGACGCTCATATTATTAAATATCAACACACTATCGTTCTATCATGACCAGAGCACCCTTCGTTGGACCTTCCTCTTTCGGATGAGCCCTCATTCAACCCAAAATATGCTAATATAAGGACGAAAAGCGAAAAATTGCGAACCTCTTTTTAGGCCCACTTTTGCCGGTAATGTCACCTCGCTGCATTACCCGTGTCTATCCCCTTAAGGTGAGGTCCCACGAACGTAATGCTCGTGCTCAGGCAATAAATTATCCGTACTCGCCGGATTTTGTTCGAAAAGACGTTTCTACTAGCGTCCAAAAGGTCGCTAAATGCGACGACAAACGGTTTGGAACCACTTGAAACGGTAGATTTTTACGAGCGTTTGAGTCTCGGCCCATGGTCTAGACTCACGAGCACGGGGACTATTCCATGAAAAAAAAATCGACCCTTTCGTGTGGTTCGAAGTTCCTCCAATACTTGTTTTCACCGAGACCGTAGGCGCCTACCTGGGTTCGCTCAAGAGTCTGAGGTTAAACTGGCGATCGACTCATCAGTTTTTGATAAAATCGAATTTTTTATTCTTTATCGTATCAACGTGAACGCGATGCCATTGAATTCTTAGTGTTCTCCCGATTAAAATGATATCTCACGTCGCGTAAATCGAACTATTTTTAACGAAATAACTTTTCAATTATGCAATCAGATTTTGCATATAATTTCGTTAAAAATAGTCCGATTTACGCGATGTGAGATATCATTTTGATTGTAGAAGCATCAGGAATCAATTGAAGTTGATTCCGCAAAGTTTCGATAAAAATTGTCGCGGTTGGTATTTTCAATTCTTTATAACATCCCCTTATCGACCGCCCGTTGCGATGATGGTGCCTAGCCTTTTTCGAGTTTCCGTGCTTGTTTAGGTGTTTGCCGTTCGTTGTGCCAGCTCGCCTGGGTTCATCAGACCCTCCTGCGCGACGAGTTGACAGTTTCAAGTGGACGTTGCTCGTGGTCGTCACCCGAACTTACGTTCATGGAACCTCACCTTTAGAATCGACACCTCGGCTGGTTATTATACCTACATACATTGTATGTGTAACCAAATGTTTCGATCAGCTTCGAATCCGTCCAAAGTTTGAAGGCCTCGACGAAGTAGAAAGAGACAGTTTGATGAAGAAGAAAGAGAGACTGACAAGGGAACGGGCTCAGATATGACGCTAATTTTTTGATGAGCCTTTGCACAGTGGAAAACTGAAGCGAATGATATTCAGTTTTGGGGGTAGACGATTTATAGTTTGCGTCGTAAACTTTACGAGATATTCAACATTGAAGTTATTATTGCTGCTTACTTGGTGAATTATAAGCGACTCCATTAATAGCGAATTCGGCGTGATCAGTAAAGCATCAGCATAATAATTCCTCTGTCGCAAGTTCGAGTCCCGTTGAAAACGTTCTTACACTATTCTTTCTTTTTTCACTTTCTTTTAAAAATACATTCGTTAAATATGACTTCGGATATATTTTTTAAAACAAACAATTTCCATTTTGAATGTATGATGTACATAAACTTGGGTGATAATTTTTGAAAAAGCAGTGGAAACAAAAATTGTAATCACCATGTACATCGAATGAATGCTTTAGATTCACAACTGCAAAATTGTTTATTTAATTCTACTGGGAATACCGCTTGATTTACGTTAATGAAATGTACTCGATTTTTTGATAGTCATGATGCGTACCAAGCATATCTATGTAGAATCGAGATAAATATATCGAAATTCATTATACAAATAGAAACAAGTACAGCAATGTCTCGAAATAAGTAACTCGATCGGGACCGGCGAGTTGCTTATTTCGAAACAGTTATGGTATATTCGGCTTGACTGTTCTCGAGCGTGACGAGGAGGAACCCGTAGACAAAACAGAGGGTTCGGTGTAGCGGCAAACTATAAAGTGATCGCTCGAGCACGGGTGTTATACTTTAGAGAATGATAGAAGATAACATGCTTTCTCATTTTAACACTAGTAAAACCGAACGAATGGAACGTATACATGTACAACTAACAGTAGTATTCCGGAGAATACACACGCCAGAGAAAGAGAAAACATTACACACATTCTGTCCTCTTTACGCTTGGATTCTCTGATATCGATGACTATTTCTTCAAAACAACTTGCACGCACAGAATCACTATCCATTTTCAAACTTTCAAACCTTCCTTCATGTGACTGTCACGATAAAACGAAATAAACTTACGACCAAACATAAAAATCGTTGTAAAGACTTACTCACCTACAGCAAGTAGGTATTCCGGCATGATATGTTACGTTAAAAAATTAATTTTAACCTTAAAATGCGTAAGGTAATATATAATATGCAGTATATAGTACATGATATCCAAAAAGTATATTTCTGATAGAAAATTGAAATAAAAAAAAAAATACATCAATCGGGGATACGTACCCGGGGTCAAGCAGCGTTACAACCTAATACTCTACCAATGCATTCAACGAACTTTGCTAGATGCTTTTATTGTACATCGAAAACAAACATACATTCTGAAAAAAGCCAGAATGGTTTTGCAGTACTGCATGCGTACTACGACCCCGTAGGGTGTCGTTGCAAAAGCGATTGCAACATCCGTGCCTTCCCTTTGTTAGTGTGCTTTTTCTTATCTAATTACGTATATTCAAAAATAATGTTCATAAACGTTTTACCTTTTTTATTATACAATATCTTTTACATTGCATACTATCATTACATTCCACAAATAACAATTAGTACTTTATTATGTTCGTACCATATTACAAATATCATATCAGTTGTTTATTATTTACTACTTTGAAATTATCGTAACAGACTATTCTGTATCAATTAATTGCAATGCAATATAACAACCTTAACATATACATGACGTTTCTTAACAATATAATATTGAATATACAGGGTGTCCCAAAAGTCGGGGAGGAGCCGGAAATGGGGGGTAGCTGAGACGATTCTGAACAACAATTTCCTTTGCAAAAATGTCGGATGGGGCTTCGTTAAGGAGATATTAAGAGAAAACCACGACCAATCAGAGCGCGCGTAGACCGTTCAAGCGGCCGCGGTAGCGAAGGCTACACGCTAGGCAGCAGCGTCAATGTCCTTCGATGCACGTCGAGTCACTTGTTCGCGTACAAGCGCGGCCGCCAGCGCGTAGCCTTCGCTACCGCAGCCGCTCCAACGGTCTACGCGCCTGTATATACATATGCAAAAGTAGAATATATAAGCTCGAGCGCTTCATACTTTTAGTATGGTACTGAACCATGCTGAAAGGCATTTTTAGATTATCGGCACACCAGCAGCAGGAGAGACTACACCAGCGCTGTGGTGGAGAGCGTGAAACTCAAGTCATTGTGCAAGCGCATCAGTCTTCTCGATTTCATAACGACAACACCATTGTAATTTTATGAGGCGAGGAAGCGACCTTTCTGGCTGATTTTTTTTTTAACTGTTCCTTATAAAATACCGCTGCGGGGGGCAGTTACACATTTTGCAATTTCGCTTTTGAAACTTGCTAAAAATACGTTCAAAGACAAGAAATTTTTTTTTTCTTTTTCAATTTTTTCTAAAAATCGCTTGACGAGACGATAGATTTACTTTCCCTGATTACGAAATGCATAATTATTATATGTTTTTTTTCATTATTGTGCCTGAAAACCGGGAAAAACTATCTAGTAGTTCACCTACTTTCCGTTAGTGGCGCCAGTTTGTCTCTGCGCACCCTTAAAAATAAAACCGCACGGATTCGCAACAATGCGGACTACACTATAGGTTGAGCGGTCCATGTACTTTATGGTCGAAGCATATAATATTTGTATGGAATCTGACAGAGGAAGCTCTTTGTTCTATCTTATTTTCTTTGTTTCCAATTTCTGTAGTTAATGGTAAAACGTTAAAGTACATTTATAATGAATTTGCACACGCGTCAATACGCGTACAGATACGTACAAAGTACGTGATGTAAGTATCCATATGTGAAAATGAAGAAAAATAATGTAAAGTGATTCGTATAATAATTTACAATATTTAATAATTAAAGTTGCTTATAGTATATACATTTTATGGTGTTTTAACCATTGCACTTTTGAAATTGATGTTGTGTATACCAATTTTCTTACAGGAATTAGTATACAATACAAATTAATCTAAAAGTAGAGAAAGAATACAAAGAAATTTGAAACGTATTTTTTTCATAAATTTAACCGTTCGAGATGACCGTTTACAAAATTTCCAGATTTATTCAGCATGTGAGGTTTGTGATTTAATTGTTGATGTTATGAAATTATCCAATATTTAAAATAATTAACGTATTTTAGAAGAAACTCTTACGAATGTTGTACAGATATGTATACAAAAGGATTTCTGAAGATTTCGATAAAGCAAAAATTCTCAAGAAGACATGCATCGAATACAAGTACAACGCAACATAAAGTTAACCCTTGGTATTCGTTTGTTAAATGGGAATGGGGTATTCCTACCGGAGTTGGAATATCATTACTTGCGATATTGCAATGGAAGCATTTGAAAAAGTATCCATATGCGAAAGAAGACAGCAATGTGTATGAGCCAATTAATGTTTTTGTGGTATAATTTTTTACAATAATAGCAAATTAATTATTTACATAAAACTTAAATAATGTTTTAAAATGATAATTTGGAACTAATGTAAGTAACAAAACCATATAATTAGAATTCAATGTTTATTATAATTTTGTATATAGGTAAACTGTTACTATTATCTACCACTTCGGATAATAAGTAGAATATGGGGCTGGATAGCAAGTTTGAAATTACCTGTTGTTTTAAGACCAACTTTATATGGATTTTACGCTAAGACTTTTGATGCTAATTTAGATGAAGTTGATTTAGATCTGTCAGATTTCCCAAGTCTTGTTGATTTTTTTGTTAGACCTCTTAAACCTAATGCAAGACCTATTGATCATAATACAAATATGGTATGTACATATTTGGATAATGAATAAATCAATATCTTAAATATTGTGATATTAATGTATATATTGATTACAGGTTTCACCTTCTGATGGAACTGTATTACATTTTGGACCAGTAACGTCTTGTCATGTGGAGCAAGTGAAGGGTATCACTTACAATCTTAGACATTTCTTAGGTGATATACGCTTGCCTGTCTCTGATCAACCACAGAAATTTACAAAAGAAGATGACAATGCTTATGTGAAGTCTCTTCTGAAAAATCCAGTAAACCAGCTTTATCAATTAGTAGTATATCTAGCTCCAGGAGATTATCATAGATTTCATAGTCCAACAGATTGGGAAATAGAGTTTCGTAGACACTTTCAAGGTATATTTTACTTTTACTTTTTTGTACAAACATGTTTCATATAATTAATTATAAATTTTTAAATATGAAATAATTTAAATGAATTAGCATTAATAATTTTTTTATCAAGTTATATACAAGAATTGATGATTGAAGCATAACTTGTGTAAGTTAAAATTGGACTATTTTTTTCAGGAAAACTGTTGAGCGTCAATCCAAAAATAGCCCAATATTTACCAGATTTATTCTCATTAAACGAACGTGTGGTGTATATTGGAAAGTGGACTGGTGGTTTTATGGCCTATACCGCTGTTGGAGCCACTAATGTAGGTTCCATAAAAGTTTACTGTGATAAAGATCTACATACAAATACCATTAAGTGGCCTGAAGTGAAACACTGGAAAGATGCTACTTTAGACTGTGCACGTATCAGCAAGGGAGAATTATTTGGTGAATTTAGAATGGGATCCACTGTCGTGTTGCTATTCGAAGGCCCAAAAGACTTCAAGTTTTGCATAAAAGCAGGACAGACAATTAAAGTAGGTCAAGCTTTAACCGAGTGTGCAGTTAGAACTGAAGAGAAACAACATAAACATTCATTATGACAATTAATACCTCTGGTCGCACTTGATTGGAAATACGTTTGGCGAATAAATACATAACCCTTTAAAAATGATTTACCGATCTCATTTGTACTGATGAAATTTATAAAAGACTTATAAAGACTTATCCTCGATGGTATTGTTACTGTAAATACGACTTTTATGCGAAATGATTACAACTAGTATTAAATTGAAAATTCCAAATAAATCACTAAATTTTAAAGAATTTGAATTCTTTGGAATTTTTACAGATTTTATGAATGTAACGAAAGTAATAGATCGTTATAGAACGTTGTCACTTAGCGTTTGAAGAATCAAAAATATTTTTATTAACTATACACAAACAGACACCCAGTTACTACAAAAAGCGACAATACATTGCACATTTTAAGTTTTTGCGTGTTAGAAGTGATGTAAAGTTACTACTAATACAAAACATCGCATTTAACAATCACCACTACTAGTAATATTTGTGGATGACCACTTGACTCGTCGTTGACGTGATTCACTGATAATGTGTATCACAAATGTAATCCTATAATGTACATTAGTTTATGTGTATATACAGAACTCAGTTCTTTAAATTTTGCAAGAATGATTTTGTATATGAACCTGACATGTAACGAAGAAGAAAAATAAATCGTATTTGTGCTAAAAAGTTTAACAATCATTACCTCAATATCCTTGCTCGGTTCATGCATTTTAAAAGAATAACAATTCCTTTATTGCAAAGTGTGAATTTAACAGATATAGATAATACACTCGTTTTTACATAAAATACTTTGTGATATAATTATGGTCAATGCTGAACGAATGAAAGCTTATCCGAACAACTGTATAAATAATTATTTTATTTATTTATAAGGTTGCGGAATAGTCTGCGCAATTATAACACCTTTTATATTAGTCTTCAATTAGAATTTTATACACAGTCCGTTTTTACAATCTTTGTTAATTTCTATATGTTGCTTTACATTCTCATCTTTCTGTGAGATGTCCACTAGGGGTAGCAGTAGTTTTTTATAGCAATAATCAAACATAGTTACAGTCATGTTCTACAATGTATTTCTTTTGTTGTCTTAATATACTAATATTGAATATAAAAATATTCTTTATCCTTTACTATTTTTATTTTGATTATTAATTTATATTTTTGTCCAAATTCCACTTAAAATGGTTGATGTCCCTGTCTTAACACAAATAATATTCGAATTAAATTTGCGATCATTCTCGATATTTTCAATATTAAAATGTTATACACAGTCTTTTTTTACAATATTTGTTAACTTCTTTCTTTACATTGCTTTCTATTTTCTTCATTTTGTGACATTCCCACCAGGGATGTCAGTAGTTTTTTGTAGCTACAATCAAACATAGCTACAGCCCTTGAGGCAATTGTGTAATCTAATTAATAAACTCCAGATATTTATACAAATTCTTCTAGGTCTTAAAAAAGTAGATCTTAATTTCTAAACAGTGTGATACGCACTTTATCGTAGATATTTTATTTGATTTACAATATCGCCAAAAAGAGGTTTTTTGAAAAGATTTAGATCGAGAAGGGGGGTCTCGAGAGGTGAAACAAAAAATTCTCAAAACCGCCGTCGCGTGTCGGGAATCGTGTTACATCTAGATCTACGACGCTGCAGTTCAGTTCAGTATTTCAGTAAGCGCCGCGACACCCGTGGCGCATGTTGTATCGTTCGTGTGCGCGAAACTTGCAAAATCCTGCGGGTCTGTTCAGTTCTGCAGATCGTGTGCTTGCGACCATTTGTCACGCGATTTCCTTCTGAATCAATCCCTTTGATCATCCACGGATTACTCCAATTATTTTTTTTTTATCTTGTCTCCCAAAGTACGATTATGGTGCTAGATGGGTGCTGATGGACATTTTCGTGTCACGTTGTCCCTCAGGAGGGAACCGGCTGCCGGTCCAGTTTACTGCAAGGAGGAGACATCGGCGAGGTTTAGACAGCTGAAGACCGTCAAGCTGAGCTGCGAAGCTACCTATAGGCTGGACATCAGCTTCAAACCACCGCAACTGTTGGAGTGGGTACAATTTATACGATGGTCATTTTCTTTGGTGTAGACATCTCGAACTTTTCACTCGAACGCGGTGACGCATTGTTCTAGAGATGTTCAATTGGACATTTCTTTTTTGAAGCGATATTTCGTAGATTGTTTGAAATTTGGATAGATCGTGGGCTTTAGGAGTGTTTAAGTTAAAGTCGGAGTTATCGCGAAGGATTTCTTAGGATTGTGGAGAGTAGGGCTTTATTAGTCGTTTCATATCATTTTATCATCAGATTTCTGAAAAGAAGTTTTTTAATAAATTACAATTGTTGAAGTAGGCATTGGAGCAACTATTTTAAAAAATTTTTTGAAACGAAGTCATTTTTATTTTAATATTAACCTTAATTTTATTTTAACTTTAATTTATTTTTGAAGAGTAGTGGTTCCTAATAAATTTCAATTACTGAACTAGTCCAGGAGTAACTATCCTAAAACAATTTTCTTGAATTGAAGACATTTTTATATTCTGCAGTTTCTGATTTTTAGGGTAAGCACAAAAGATTATTACCGATTTGATCAGATTTCTGAAGAGCAGTGTTTTTTAATAAACTACAATTCCCGAAGTAGTCATTGGAATAATTATTCTAAACTAATCTTTTGGAACTAAAATCATTTTTATTTTGTAGTTTCTGGTTTTTAGGGTAGCACATAAAATTTCATTTTCATTTGATTGGTAGTCTAACAGTAACAATTTCCTTTTCCTCTTATCTTTCCTTTTTATTATAAGTTTCTTTTACTATAATATTTTTATTATATGAAATTGATCCAATTTAATTAATAACAATATTTACAATGAAAAATGTTCGACGTGTCTGTCTTAATGCAAATAATTCTTTGCTTCCTCGCGGTGTATTCTCGCCCTGTTCCTTTTTATCTGATCCTTTTTCCATTCGTTTTGCCGCACGAAATTCTCTCCCCAGTGGTAATTTTATGTTGAAAGCTAGAATAAATCTGACGTCAGACGACCTTCTTGAGAAAATAATTGCTTGAAGATCTGAAGGCTCGATTGCTGGCTTACTATTGCTTTTACCCCCCACTCGCGCGATAGTCGTTATTTTTTTAATCTGATCGCGTGTCTTGACGCTTGGACTCGCAAGTAGTAATATCTGTAGCAGGTCTTCGTACCAGTGAAAGAAGTCAATGAGATCTCGTACCTGATCGTTGGCTACTATGAATCTTATTACTGGGACTATTGGGTTTTGTTTTTTAATCAATTTTTGTTCTACTGTGGATGTATTGCATGAATGGTTACATATTTGTAGTGTTTGATGGTCCTTTCTGTTTATTCTGTTCTTGGTAAACTATCTAGAGAGAGATTGCAAGATTTGTTTAATAATATTTATGGAAAACAACTTTGATCGTTTAGTATTTTTCTTACTGTTAGTCAGTGCCGTAACAAGGGCGTGGCGAAGAAGGGACCTGCCACGGGCGCAACTGGGTTTGGGGCGCAAAACAAAGGATACCGACTCAGTTGAGAGTTGCATGTGACTTTTATTTTACTTGACCATGATTGACATGAATCAGCACCAACTGTCACTGACCGTTTTTCGTTTCCCGACCAAATAGACACAGACACGTACATATTATTAATACGTTTACGAGTAATCCGCGAGTAATACGCAACGAACGGTTCGTAGACTACGCGTGGATGGTCGAGGTTATGAGAATGCATGATGGCCGGTGTTATTTGAAAATTTTCCCGATATTACTCAAAATATATGATACTACTTGTTACTCTTGGTCGGTAATGCCAAATGTACTGAACTGTTTTATGTTTTTATTACATTATTTTACCGTATACCTATGTTTTATATTTCTTTTATTTTGTCGTCAATGAATATGAATAAAAATTTGTTCGTATTTAGGTTATAGATTATTTATTCATACAAATACCTTGACAAATACATTATTGTATATACAGCTAACTCATCTTGATGAGGTCAATAGTATTTAATATATTGCATTTAACAAAATTTAACATGTTACATTAAAATTTTTAATTTTATTTGTCATTATTTGGTTACGGAAAGGCGCAAGTTAGATACTTGCCACAGGCGCTTCATATCTTCGTTACAGCACTGCTGTTAGTATTAGACCTGAGCTCGGCAAGATTTGCACTTTTCGGCCGTTTTTCGTTAAACCCCGTACAAGCCGCGCGCAGCCAACGAGCTGCCTGGAGGCTCAGGACTGTACCACCGTCACCGGTGCCTCGTGAACAGATTTTTAATAGCTTTCCACATCACCTAGGGGGTACTATTATATTATACTGTACACCAACAATCCGAAAGTATTTGGCATGATTATGTATACTCAATAAATAATACAGAAAATGGCAAGAAAACATTTTTTTTCTCTATTTTATGGATGCCTTTTTATATCACAAGAAAGATTATTTGAGAATTATTAATAGTTTTCCAACAAAAATTTATGAATGTAGTCGGTAATGATTTGATTTGCGCGCTGAAAGTGCGAGAGCGCGACGACACGGGCTCCTACGTTTTTTGCTTGCGATACTCGTGTGTCTACGGTATGCCAAATACGGTATAGCAGTAACGTTCTGCGAGTCGACCCGTCAACAACGATACGAATAAACCACGTGAAACTGGTAAATCTGTTCTTCCTTAACAACCACGACCAGACAGAATAAAAGTATCCCCACATGAAAATCACCTATTGTTCTGAGCCTTGGACGGCTCGTCGGTTGCGCGCGGGACGTTGCCGTAAGGGAGAGACGGAGTTTACCGAAAAACTGCCGAAAGTGCAAATATTGCCGAGCTCTGTATTTAGACATTTCTACTGTCAGAATGTAATTAAGTGCTATCAGTTAAATATAATTGAGATTATAATATTATACAGGGTGTTCACACTAAAGTGTGACAAACGCAAATTTTAATAATTATTGATGATACGACAAAATTGTTTACATGTAAATTGCAGGATACAATGGGCTCTATATTGTGGCGTAAACGAAATTTTTTTTATATTATTAATTTAAAAGATATGATGGTGAAGTTTCGTTTTTTAAATGGAACTATATATTTTTGAGGGATCATGCGATAGCGCTTTTCAAGACGAATTTATTGACCCTTAATGTATTTACCCGATTTTTATTAATTTTCAAGATAGAACACTTAGAAATTTACTGATTTTCAGCGGAAAATTCTCGGTTTGAGTGACAAGTCATAAAATAGGTTCTATTATTGCGGTGTTTGACTCTGCCTGTTGAAACCAATAGCAAGGGTCTACGTCCGGAACGGCTGACCCGAACAGTAAGAAACATGGAAAGTATTGTCCATCATGGTTTAAGTTTGCCGGATCCTCAAACGTAGACCGTGATTGACAATACTTTCCATGTTTCCTACTGTTTGGGCCTTGTCGTTCTGAGCATAGACCCTTGCTATCGGTTTCAAGATCCCTCAAAATATATAATTCTATTTAAAAAACAAAACTTCACCATCATATCTTTTAAATTAATAATATAAAAAAAATTTCGTTTACGCCATAATATAGAGCCCATTGTATCCTGCAATTTACATGTAAACAATGTTTTCGTATCATCAATAGTTATTGAAATATGCG